GAGGTTAAAGCAGGCCAATCCGCTTTGCGCAGGGCGAATACGGCTTTCTTCCGTCGAGGCGGCGTGTTGGCTAGTCGCGGAATGCCATCATCCATCCCTACCGAGTAAGATATCAAGCGGTGGTCCGAATCGATGTAGGGAGTGAATTTCCAGTGGGTGACACGTAGAGCACAATAAGCAGTCACGTCAGGGGACGAGACATTACGATGTGTGATCCGTGTTGCCTGCGCCGGGTCATTTGCCAGTCCAAAATTGAAATCAATTAAAACAGCGGCAAATTTCTCTCCTCCAGTCGTTGGTGGTGTTTACGACTGTCCCGAAGCTCATGGTGTGAATTCAACTCACCCGCAATAATCGCTGCGGGTCTGAGCGACGAATGATACTAATAAATGAAGAGTTTTGAACAGTTGCTGTGGGGAGGGTTGTAGAGATTCGCCACGCAAATGCCGGAACAGCGCTGTGGAAATGCACGGACAGCAGTGGTCTCCAGGAGGTCTGTGCCGGGGAGCGACAGGCGCTCGCACGGTAGACAGTGGCGCACCAGAGTGGCAACGCCACCAGCGCGCCCAGTGCAGGCCTGAAGAAAGTCATTATGGCCAGAAACTTTTGTCGCTAATTTGCTACGGTCATTTATTTCCTCGAAAAAAAAAGATGTCAGTTTGATGCCGCTCCAATCGCGCAGCAAATGCAATCTTTTTTACGGACGAGAGGCCTGCAACGTTACGCTGCCAAATAGTGATGTAGCCATCCTCCTCGGTGCCAGAGTTCTTGTGGACGTCACCGCAACGGGTGATATCAACGGAGCGATCGCAGCGAAACGGTCGCGCAGGTTTTGTCCGACAGCCTGCAGGCAGACCGCTTCACCTCCCCGCACCGAGCATGGCGTGGAACCTTCTCGAGGGGTGAAGTCGTCTTGGTCTCCGTCGTGCTCGCAGCAACGCCCTGCTGCGGAGTTCCTACATGCAACCAGAGCCCCAGCACCGCGACAAGGTGTGGACCCCATCGCTGGGGCCCCAGGAGAAGCCGCAGTGCCTCCTGCTCTCATCAGGGATCCTTCTTGACGTCTTGATGCGGAGAAGCGCCCATCGGTTCTTACAAACGAAGCCGCACACCTGCGGCACATCCTGCGCTGTGAGAGGCACGACCCTCACCACAACCGGAGCCGCCCACGCGCCGTCGGTACGCACGGCATCGAAAAGAAAAAAGCATGGATGCGTCAGGGTGACAGCAAAGCATCCGCTAGCAATCACTTCACAGGCATCACCACAAGCAGCACCAGCAGCGCTGCAAGCCACGGGTTAACGTGGACTAACTGACGCATGGCGTATGTCGAAGGAAAAACTTAGTGGCCTCACAAGGATAAAAAACGCTGACAATTCAAAACAAAAAAAAACGATATGGGAATAACAAAAGAAGATTAAAGTTTCCGCAGTCAAAGCAAGCCACCAATCAAAGAAAAGTGGAATGGGTGAACCCAACCAAAATAAGACAAAAAAATAAAACAAAAAGCAAGAAGCCGAAGCGTGGGACGACCAGCGCACACACTCGCATTGCTCCCGTAAAGCAAAACACACACACACAGGGAGAGAGAGAGAGAGAGGTCGCCCACTCAATGCAATAAAAACAAAACAGAAACAGTTACGGTGCTCCGCCCATGCAGCCAGGCAGGACGGCAGCGGTGCGTGTCGTGCAAAAGAGAGCACCAACGGGCCTGCATGGGTGTGCATGCATATATACAATGGGCACATTAAGTGTGTGCTTCGTGGGATGAGGTGAGGGCGAGAGTCCATGCAAGGGGACACACACAGAGAGAGTGAGTGAAAGACGAGTGCGTGTGCGGGCGGTGCACGGCTCTCTCTCCCTCACTCTCACGCGGCCACCACCGCAGCAGCAGCACACGCAACAACAAAAAGCAAAAGAGGGGAGGTGGTGTGGGAGACCGCGGTGCTGCCGTCACTGTCGCCAGGTGTCGTGTTTATTTGATTAGTGGCGTTTGCACCAGTTATGGTTTCTTTTTCTTTGCCTGGAGGATTCTCTTGATGTTGTTCCTTTTGTTTCTCTCGTTCCTCTTCTGTTTCATCATCCTTTTCTTCCCCAGCTCTTTGTTTGATTCCTGTCGGAGTTTCTCCTGCATGTGTGCGTTGGACTTCCTGCTGAATATCAGTTGAATTTACTTTCGGGGCACCTGAGACATGTGCAGCCTCTTCTCTCTCCTGAGCCCGATGTCTTTCATGACCCTCAACACCTTCCTCCCCTTCTCCCCCTTCTTTTCCTTCTTTTTCATTAGAACCATCATTGCCGTTGTGTTCTCCCGAAGAATGATCTCCTGCAGGATTAATTGGTATTGTTGCTTCAACATTTATTTGTTGTTCTTTTCCCTGCGACGGTTGATGTCCTTCTCCACTTTTTGTATCCTCTTCTTGGACTGGATGTGGGTTATCTTGCGGCTGTGGTCCACTTCCTTCATTTTGTTTGGTTACTGCCGCTTCACCATCACCAACTGTTTCTTTTTCTGACTGGTTTTGTGTTCCACTTTCGACTTGGCGTTGGCTTTCAGGTTTCGGTCCACTTTCATTTACATTTTCCAGTTTTTCATCAGCGGCTTGTGATTGTCCTCCTCCTCCTCCTTCTCCTGGTGTTTTTAGTCTTTCATTCTGATCCTCATCATCAGAACCTTCTTCTTCTTCTTCTTCTTCTTCTTCTTCTTCTTCTTCTTCTTCTTCTTCTTCTGTAGAAGGTTGTTCGTCACCTGAATCCTCAGTTCCGTCTTTAACATCTGATGCCTTTAAACCTGGTTTGTGTGATCCTCCCTGTGCAATTGGCGATGATTCCTGTGAACTTTCATCAACATCACTCGAAGAAGCAACAGGCGGAGTTCCACCTGTCCCACCTTCTTCACACCTACCGCCACCGCAGCACCGCACCACAGCACGCAGAGGGCACACACCAGCAGCACACGGCCAGTCATCATCATCGCCATCACTCCTGTCACTTGCGTGCAGCCTTCAGCACAAACTAACACCCCGCCAACGTAGAGTGAAAGGAAAAGAAAGAGACACGGCACAGTAACAAACACCACCAGCAGCAGCAGCACGCGTTTCATGAGAAATATTGAACCAATGAAAGTGCAAAAAACGCACAGCAACCTGCAATAATTTAACAACAAGAAAAACACACAAGACAAGGAAAACTTTGAAAACCAAACAAAAGAAAACAAGCAGCAATAAAGCAAAACAGTAAAAACACAAAAAACAAAAACCTACGCCCAAATGGCTCCAGTGCGCATGCACCTATCCTCAACAGTGTGGCCTCTTAAACTGTCGTGTGCGTGTCATGCATATTAATGTGTCTGGGACACTGCCAACGTGGCGGATGTGGGCAGCAACGCGGAGCACACAGCAGGGCAGCGGAAGCAAACAAAGCAAAAAACAGTCATCATAATTACTCTTACTTCATACATCGGACCACAGTAGACGTACACATGTCCCCGTGGCTGAGTGCTGGCACGCACAGCCCGCATGCACCTCTTCAGCCCACAGCGGTGCACGCCAGCGCGGATACGGCGAGCAGCAGCGGGGCACACACCCACGCAGAGCTGCTGAGGCTGCCGTCGATTTCACGAAGACGTGACGGTGCACGGGTGGTCGTCGTCGTGGTTGGCGCCTCTGTTGTAGTCGTCGTCGTTGGTGCCTGTAACTTAACGTCAGCCACATTTTTTTCCTTTGCCGTACCAAAATGTTTAGTCTCTGCATTCTCAGTGGTTTTGTTTCCTTCGCCGGCCGCTCAACCTTGAGGCCCTTCCACACCGGACGCACCTTGTGACTGTTCCGCACCGCTTCCCAAACTTGTTGACCCTGGCGTAGTGGTCCCACGTGATCCCTCTGAAGTACTGGCGATTGTGTGGGAGTCATTACCTCCACCAGCGGCCGTCACACACACGGACGTGCAGCAGCAGCAGCACGAGAGCGTAAGGAACAACACGGCGCACACCACACGGAGCCGCACCGTCACCATCGTCACCATCGCAGTCATCATCACCCGTAGTGGAGTCGCTGGAGTCAGTGAGCCGATCCGTGAGCCAGAAGGAAAAGGAATGCAACAGGAGGGAGAGGGACGGAGCACAGCGGATACAGCGAGAGAGAGAGCAGACAACATGAGAGGGCAGCAGGCCCAGCCGCACAGTTCACACACCACGAGACGGCATCCACGCAAGGAAGGCACACAACGCCAGCAGCCACCCACTATGCAGGAGGAGAAGACATCCACCACCATCTCCCCCAGCTCATCTCTACAGCCCCAGGGAAATGGCCAAAACCCGCGGCCACCACACAACACACACGCGCAAGCGAACCCTCATCCATCCACGATGCGGCACCAAAATTTCCAGCCATCCCGCCCTCAATGGGACACGGAGCCCAACTCAACGCAGTCACACGCGGTGCACCGCACCCGCAGGATAAGAGACTCGGGCTGCACGCTCCCTCTCCTCCCTTCGCCTCATGGCCACGGAAGGAGACAACAGCCGCCACACGCAACTGCCAGCATGCACTGCAAAAGGAGCATTCAAACCCACTGCAATGTGCATCTTGTGTGTATGGTTGTGTGTGCCTGCAGAAACACAAAGCAAAGAAGTAGAAAAGAGGGAGCAGAGTATGTGGAGAGACGCACAAAAATGCACAGCGGAGACGCGTGGCGGAAACAACAACAAGAAGACCGCTCAAACTCATGACTGCACAGCAGCCCAAGCAGTGGCAATTCACACACGATTTATTTAAAACAAAAAAACATCCCCTTCGTCTTATACAAACCCCATCACACAAAATAATTACAAATAAAAAAGAAATCGTCCATTACTGTTCCACACAAATTTAAAAATCGCCTGGCTGCCGTGTCGCCACACCAAACTGTCTGTATATATTTTGCCCGGAAAAGAAAATTGAAAAGATGGTTGCGTGTGTTTCAACCGTCCGACCCTCATGTGTCCGCACATCGTTTATATTTCATGGGGTCATCTGCGTGTTGCTGCTCCCCTCAGCCCTCTCATCGGCGTGCGAGTGCGGCCCGCAGAGCACAGTCACTCGTGTGTGTGGAGACTGAGAGAAGCACGCAGACATGACGGGTGTCGCGTCTCTCCATCGGGAGAGTGAGCGCAGCAAAAGAAAAAAAATCATCAGGAGGGAGAGAAATGCTGACGGGACTGCCAGCGCGTGAAATGAACAAACAAAAAAAACACGGCGGCTGGGTGTGGCTGTGTGTGTGGCGCTGCGGGTGTCTGCCCGCCCTGGCCGCAAAAAAGAAAACAAAACAAGAGGGAAAGAAATGTGTGCTCCGCCCCACAGGCCCTCGTCGCACGCCCACACGTCACGGCTCCTCCTCATGCGTGCAGCAGGCGAGGCGCACAGGGCCGTCGTCATGAGCGTGTCGGTGGGTGTGCGAGTGGAGCAGTTGGGCGGGAAACACACGGCACCCCTCACAGGAAGAGTGCAGCAAAAAAATATTAAAGAGGGAAGAGTAGAAAAGAAGAAAACGTCCATAGTGATTGCCCCAAAAGCAAAAAGGAGAGGGAATGGGGGATAAAAATAAAGGGAAAAAAAAAAGAAAAGAATTTTGGAAAAAAGACACACACATAGACTCGCGCAACACAACAAAAACTTTAAAACGCACATAAAGCAAAAAAAGCAAACAGGGGGAGAAGTAAATAAGAGTTATTTGGGAAGAGAAATTCATTGCCAGGTGTGTGTGTCGGTGCAGTGGAGGACGCAAATGTCCCACGCGGCAGCCAGCCACGCCTCACAGAGCCGCAAACCCCCACAGTCCCAACAGAAGGAGCAGCGATGGCACCAATCCGCTCTCACACACAGTGCCGGTATCGCTGTTATTCCCCTGCGACACGTTTCCGAGGCTGCTGCTGAGTGCCGTGGCATTTACGTCCCCGACCTGTTTATTAACTTCTTCCTCCTGCCCATTCGTTCCTCCTTCTCTTGTCTCCATCGTTGGCTCGCCATCAGCAGTAAAACCGCCACCCACAGTTTGATGTCCATCGGGAGATGCTCCTGACGTCACCTGCGCTACGGATTCCTCTTCTGCTGAGGGAGTACTGACAGTGGACACCGCTGATTTGGATGCACCGCCACTGTCCGCACCTTTACTGCTCCCCATCGACTGTCCCTGTTCCGTCAGCTGTGTTCCGGCAGGAGTAGACGGAGTTTCGGTCTTCTGAGAAGTTGCGGTCACCAGAGGACTGGGAGGTACAACGGAATCAGAAGAAACTGTTGAAGGCTTTGCCGCCTCCTTTTCCAATAGTTGAATTGGATCTTTATTCGGGTTGAGGGCGCCAATCTCTGCTTCATCCAACGGGCGGTTGTACAGCAGGACGTTCTTCACCGTCACAGGCACGTCTTCTTGTTTCCGTGTCTTGTCTCCATCCCCTCCAATGTAGAAGTATGAGATATCTTTCGAATCTGTATTTGCCAATGCACACGGCACATCACCCACACGCTGACCATCGACGTACGCGGAGCCCTGGTTGCCGTTCCGTAGCAAAATTACCACGTGTTGAGTTTTCTCTGTCCTCAAAGTGCTGCTGTGCTCCTTAGGGGTTTCGTCACCGGACAGCAACTGCCACTTACCTCCGCCGTTGTACGACAGTCCCAGGAGTACAGGATTCCCTGCACCAGCCATCTTCACACCCAACAATGGAATGGAGTTATCTTCCTCCTTCGGCACCTTGTCGATGGACACCGTCGCCACAAGAGTGAAGTTGTGGTTCGCGAAGTGGTACAGCTGATTCTCCCCCTGCCTGCCAACGGGCCACTCCGCCCACGCTCCCTGGAACGTCACACCACCGGCATGCAGTGTTTGCCCTGCTTTATTATGTACTGTGGCGTTCACTCCGAGGTACTCGTCCCTCCATGTATTCTCAGAGAAGTTGCCGGACAAAAAGCCAACCAGCCCATCCGTGATCTTACCATCAGTAGTGCAGGCATTGTCAGGTGAGGTATCCTCCTGAGCAAGTAAAGTGGCACACAGCTTGGAGACACGTTCGTCCACTTCCTTCCAGGTCGCCAGCACCTTCTTCACCCGCTGCAGGTGCTCAGTCAGACGCACAGAAGCCATACCGAGTGATGTGTCCTCATCACCGCCCTTCTTCTTCTCGTACAGCGCAATCAACTCCTCTTTACTTTCAGTACTTTCGTACAACAGGGAGCTGGCGGCGACGTCCTCTTCCTTCCCCGGATACCGGCCCAATATCAGCAATGTGCGTATTGTCCGTCAGCCAAAGATGGAGTCTGCCCTTTCCGTTTTCTTCTTTCTCTTTCTCCTTAGAATACACCGGCAGAGTAACAAGCATCACGTCCCTGTTATCAATCTTCGCTGTGATAAACCCACTCCCAACGCCCTTCTCAGGTCCCGTGTGTTTGTTGCCCCACACGCGCGAGAGTGTCCCGAGGGCCTCCGTCCACGAGTCCCCCTTGTCACCGGACTCGTACACCCTGCGGCGGCCATCATCACACGCAGTCATCATCATGAGTTTTTTGTCCTCCCACTCCACGACGGAGGGATCACTGCAGCCACCGGCAGAAACATCCTTCGACAGCTTCCAACCCTCAGTACCCGTGGAGTGTATGACAAGTGAAACGGTGTCTGTTACTCCAGCTGCGCCATTGGACTTAATGCCTTCCACTGGGAATACAAGCGTACCGTCATTCATCTTAACACCCGATCCACCGCCTCCAATCAAATCTGTCAAAGATTCTTCTTTTTGCATGTTAGAAATGCTCTGGAGAGCGTCAATATGATTCCAATGAATTCGTTTTTTACTCTTCTCATCACCACTGACGTTCCCTCTCGACAGCAAAAGTCCCCAATAAGCCGAAGTATTATCGGCAGCATCAAGGTTGTAGATTCCAGCAAGCATGTAAATATCACTTCCCTGCACAACTGTTGTTGGTCGGGCCAAATAAACTTTCGTCCCTCTTTCGAAACTAGCCTGAGCAACGATTTGGGAGGCACAGTTGGCTTTATCGGATGGACATTCCTCCAGTACTTGTGTCTTCAGTTTAGTTTTGTCCAACTCCTCTTTTTTTTGTTCACCATTCCACTCCAGGAGTTCCGAGGCAATCCCAGTAAAATCGCCTTCTTCCTTCTTCGTGTCCTGCGCCTCGGCAACGGCAAACACATCACTCCCCACTTTCAAAAGACTGGGAACACAGAGCGAGCTCACTGTTTCTCCATCTTTCACGTCTCTCCAAACAAACAATTTCCTTTTTGAAGGTTCCGAAGCAGACGCTGCCGCACTGCCGCAGCACATCATCACGACGAGGAGGAGCAGCACCGCGGAGGTAAACACACGCCGGGACATGTTGGGCCTCTGCGGCTCACTCTCTCCTCCTTCCCTCCTCCTTCCGCGGGATCCGGTCACACGGCGACGGTTGTGTGTGCGGGGTGCCTTCACTGCAGCAACACGTGAGTGCATATAAATATGTGTGTGTGGGCGGTGTGTGTGTGCTGTTGGTCCTTTCAGAGCCTTCAAATTTCACAGTGGCGTTTAGCGCTTTTTTCCCTTCTTAGTGAGTGATTGATAAAGAAATAGAGAGAAAACAAGCCAAGCAAAGAGGTGAGACAGCGAGCACCGCCACCCATCCACACTGTGAGTGGCATCACCATCCCCGCCGCAGTCACTCCCAACAACAACAACTCACGCACACAGACACACGGAACAGGAGATGGAAGAACAGTGCACCGGGAACACACAGCGACGGTCACCACCAGCAGCAGGAGCCACGGCGTGTGTGTCGTTATTCGTCACGCGTCAGCAGACACTGAACAACGCCCACGCAAAAACACAACCAACGGGATGCAAAAGAATACAGCCGCCCCTCGCAGCACCCATGCGTTGCCGCCAGTCGTTTTGTTGTTGTCTCTTCCAACGCACCCGCATATCACTCCGCACGCCGGAAAATCCCCCGTCAACGGATACACAGCGGCAGTGCCACGTCGGCAGGTACAGCTGTTGGGAGAGAGTCAATAAGCAATTGTCCCAGGCACCCGAAATGCCACACCACTCACTGACAGCACACCGCCAACATCACGCCCGCAAAATGTCGCCGGGACAAATCGCGGACTCAAGCTCTTCTCGCGAGGGCCGTCACAGCCAGAATCTTGTGCGTGCGTGCGTGCCTTCACACCGCTCCACAGCGTGTGCAACAGGGCTTGTCTGTGTGTACCTGAGTGTTTGTCAGTGCCTATAATTGCAGAGCAGCTGTGCGGCAAAAAAAGTCCAAAGAAGGAACCCACGAAGAGAGAAGCGGATAGCACACACGCAAATTACTCATATCATCACACACACACGCAGCCCGCGGAATGGGTGCTCTCAACTACAACACAAGCAGAGACTCAAAAACAAAAAAAGAAAAAGCCGAAGCGTGTGACGACCAGCGCACACACTCTCATTGCTCCCGTAAAGCAAAACACACACACAGGGAGAGAGAGAGAGAGGTCGCCCACTCAATGCAATAAAAACAAAACAGAAACAGTTACGGTGCTCCGCCCATGCAGCCAGGCAGGACGGCAGCGGTGCGTGTCATGCAAAAGAGAGCACCAACGGGCATGCATGGGTGCGCATGCAATATATACAATGGGCACATTATGTGTGTGCTTCGTGGGATGAGGTGAGGGCGAGAGTCCATGCAAGGGGACACACACACACACAGAGAGAGAGAGAAGGACGAGTGTGTGTGCGGGCGGTGCATGGCTCTCTCCCTCACTCTCACGCGGCCACCACCGCAGCAGCAGCCGCACACACCACGAAACTGATGGAATCAGTGCGATTGCAGAACTCGCACACCGTCCTGCAAACCAGAAGTTTAAAAAGCAATAAGAAACAAGAATTCCCAAAAAAAAAAAAAGGAAAAAACTTGGGCTTCTTCGGGACTCGAACCCGCGTCCCGGATGACATTGTGAGCTTGTTTGCCACTGAGCTAAAAAAAATGTGGTCGCGCGACCCATTTTCACGTAAGGTGTTAATTTCGACCTTCGAACAATCGAGCACATTTGCGTTGTCCCCTGGAAAACGAAAGCGACATGTTTAGGGTGCGCCGCCGCAGCGTGAATACTTCGATTCGTCGTCATATATCTCTCGTACGGGGCCGCAGCCGCAGCGTGGATACATCGATTCGTTGTCATATATCTCTCGTTCGGGGCGGACCGCCGCAACTTGGATAATTCGACACGTCGTCATGTATCTCTCGTCCGGGGCAGCCGCCGCAACTTGGATAATTCGACACGTCGTCATGTATCTCTCGTCCGGGGCCACCGCCCTACTCTTTTTTATTCCCTGCGGCGGCCAACCCCGGCAGTAAGGACAAAAAACAGGATCGCGTTTTTTTTAATGCTTTTCCTGTTTGGGGGGGGCGGATCTTTGTTTTCTATGATTGCCCCCTTTTTTTGTCTATCCCAGGTTGGTTTTAGGAGGCTTGATGTGCCTGCTGGGTGATCGCCGGCTCTTTTATTGGTGATTGCGTATTTTTGGCTTACCGCTGTGCCGCTCAGCGCCATTTTGTTTTACTTCTTTTCTGCTTATTGGGGCGTGTTGTTATTCGTCACGCGTCAGCACACACCGAGCAACATGTCAAAAAAACAAAACGCAGGCTTCTTCGCCCCTCGCGAGGGCCTCCGCAGCCACAATCCTGTGCGTGCGTGCATTCTCAGCGTTTTAAACACGGCATGTGTGTGCATGTGCTTGTGTGTTTGGCAGCGCCTATAATTGCAGAGCAGCTGTGCGGCAAAAAAAGTCCAAAGAAGGAACCCACGAAGAGAGAAGCGGATAGCACACACGCAAATTACTCATATCATCACACACAAACACACACACGCAGCCCGCGGAATGGGTGCACTCAACTACAACACAAGCAGAGACTCAAAAACAAAAAAAGAAAAAGCCGAAGCGTGGGACGACCAGCGCACACACTCTCATTGCTCCCGTAAAGCAAAACACACATACAGGGAGAGAGAGAGAGAGGTCGCCCACTCAATGCAATAAAAACAAAACAGAAACAGTTACGGTGCTCCGCCCATGCAGCCAGGCAGGACGGCAGCGGTGCGTGTCGTGCAAAAGAGAGCACCAACGGGCATGCATGGGTGCGCATGCAATATATACAATGGGCACATTATGTGTGTGCTTCGTGGGATGAGGTGAGGGCGAGAGTCCATGCAAGGGGACACACACAGAGAGTGAGAGAAGGACGAGTGTGTGTGCGGGCGGTGCACGGCTCTCTCTCCCCCACTCTCACGCGGCCACCACCGCAGCAGCCGCACACGCAACAAGAAGAAGAAGCAAAAGAGGGGAGGTGGTGTGGAAGGCCGCGGTGCTGCCGTCACTGTCGCCATTTGTCGCCGTCTCATTTGTTTGAGTTATGGTCGCTGTGTCTGATGTTTCCTTCCTGTTGCCATGTTTATTTTCACCTCGTTTTGCACCTTCTGTTACTGCACCGTTATCTGTGGGGTTATTCTTCTGCAATCCCATTTCATTGCCCTTTTCTGCGCCCATATTAGAGGCATCACCAACAGCTAGGGGCCGTGCTTGTGTTGATTCAGAATTGCCGTCCGATTCACCATTCTGTTCGATTAGTAAAACGGAAACATTTTCATCATTTTTTAACTCATTGTTTGGCTCCACGCCGTCATTGACTCTTTGAGACGTTTGCTCTGACACGTCATCTTCAGAGCTCAGCTTTTCTTTTCCTGGTTCTGCTCTGGGGTTTTCCACTGTTTTTTCTTTTTTTTTTTTCATTGTCGCTGCTGGTGCTTCTTGCAGTGAAGCTGGTATTGCTGCTCCAGGTTCCTGCGTTGATGCTGCCGGTAATGAAGATTCTGGCGGTGATGGTTCACTGGTTCCTGGTCGTTCCCCTCCTGATGGCGTTGTTGCTGGTGAGTGAACTCCCACTTTCGCTAAACCCTTGCCTGCCTGTCTTGCTCCTCCTTCGCTACCTCGTCCATCCGGCGGCGCTTTTCGTTCTTCAAGTATTTCTTTCCTTTTTTCTCTTCCTGCACCTCCATCTATTTGTTCTTTGTGTACTTCTTCCTTTTCGCCCCTTAATTCGTCGGCTGTTGGTGTTTCAATTTCCAGATCCCTCTTCTGATCATCAGTCGCTTCGTTTTTTGGATCCAACGGTTTACCCGCGTTTTGACGCTCTTGACTGACGTGTTCTAATGGTTCCTGTTGTCCGGTATTTCTGCCTGCGGATTCAGGCTGTGGCCCCTCTGCTGGAACGTGAAATACATTGGTATTTTCAGAAGCATCGGCCTTTGACACTTCCACCGCACATACACCGCACCACAGCACGCAGAGGGCACACACCAGCAGCACACGGCCAGTCATCATCATCGTCATCACTCCTGTCACTTGCGTGCAGCCTTCAGCACAAACTAACAACACGTAAACGCAGAGTGAAAGCAAAAGAGAGACAAGTCACACAACCACCGCAGAGTAACAAGTGGCGGCACACCAGCAGCAACAGCGCACACACCATTACACAAATGGAACCAACACAAATCCAAAACTCGCACAGCGCCCTGCAAAAAAATTAAAAAAAAAAAAAAGGTATTTAAAAAACCACACCCAAGGCCTCGCTGCTCATGCATATGAGTGTGTCTGGGATGCGTTCAACGTGGCGGATGTGGGAAGCAGCGCGGAGCACACAGCAGGGCAGCGGAAGCAAAAAAAGCAAAAAACAATCATCATAATTACTCTTACTTCATACATCGGGCCACAGTAGACGTACACATGTCCCCGTGGCTGAGTGCTGGCACGCACAGCCCGCATGCACCTCTTCAGCCCACAGCGGTGCACGCCAGCGCGGATACGGCGAGCAGCAGCGGGGCACACACCCACGCAGAGCTGCTGAGGCTGCCGTCGATTTCGCGAAGACGTGACGGTGCGCGGGTGGTCGTCGTGGTTGGCACCTCTGTAGTCGTAGTACTTGGTGCCTCTGGCGCAGTGGTCGTCGTCGTAGTTTTATTGGTGGTCGTATTTGTGGTTGGTGCTTTTGTTGTCGTGGTCGTGGTCGTGGTCGTCGTATTTGGTTTTATTTCCATATCGGCATTGCTTTCAACCTGTCCCGCAATGACCGAATCCGATGAGCGTAACGAACCGGGCTCTTCTTCTGAAACTTCTTCCGTGGTGTCCGCCGGAGCCGTTGGCCCTGGCTTAGTGGGCGTACTCGATGACACTGCGGTAACGGTCCTTTTGTTTACGTTTTCTTTAGGGGTTATATTCGTCTCAGTATTAGTATTTCCAACAGTATCTGTCACGCACACGGAAGGGCAGCAGCACAGGGCGAGCACCAGCAGGGCGCACAGCAGACGGCACGTCATCATCGTGAGTGTGTCGTTCAGTGGTGTGGAGCTGATCTGCACAGTGAGGGACATGGAGAGCAACAGGGGAGACGAGAGATGCGGCAGACACACACAGAGGGCACACCACATGAGGAGAGGGCAGCAGCCAGGCATGCACCGTACGCCGCACACCACGCACGACACACACTCCAATCCACGGCAACAGGCACACACCCACACACAGCCCTGCCGCAACACCAACACACAGATGGAGGAGGAGAAGCAAACAGGAGCGGCACACAAGGCTCCACCGCACGTACACACGGCGAGAGCGGTCCGTCGTGTCGGCACCCCTCACGGAGGGTACGCACACAAACAGGAGGAGGTGCAGCGCACACAGCAACACAAAAGCAAAGTAACCATAATAAAAAGGAGAGATCCCCTCACACCACGTGGAATGTTGGTCCACGGGATGTGCAGCCAATATTCATCACAAAAATAATTCGTTTCTGTTTCCTTTTCGTTGTACGTTGTGAAAACAATTACTGAGTAGCGCAAGGGCCGTCCGTACCAAAGTGGCAATTACTCCGTCGCATACGGGCCGTCGTGCATGCTGGGGCATTCCCAAACAGTTGCAGTCCTTACTCTCAACAACGAAGGCATTCCCACAGTGGATGAAGCGAAGTATCCCGTGGTTCGTCGTGGGATCAGCAGTCCGTGGCGTCTGTGATGAAGCGGTGGCGGAAGAGCAATGGTTGTCATTGGAGCTTGCAGATGTGCTTTGTCCGTTTTTTTCCCGTCGATACGCTTGGCATTTTCGGTGGCGACCTGCGCGCGAGGCGCCTGTTAAAAAGACGCTGGCGCCATTGCAGCATCCTCGTGCAAGGACTTCTTCAACTATCGGAACGCCAGGCTGAGCATGTCGGGCATGTGCCTTCATATTGTGGACGGGCGAGTGCACTCAGCCGCAGATTGGGCAGGAGGACGTCAATCCGCCGCTCGCTGGTCGGCAAGGAGTGGCGGTGTTCACGTCGGGAAGATGTTCCGGCGGAGGCGGAGGCAGGCCGGTCACCGCAGTGAGGGAGGGACGGCGCCACCGACACAGGGGGTTCCTTGTGATCTGCAGGGCGCGTGCAGGCCTGCCGAAGAGCGGGCAGGAGTCGCATCGCGCCTGTACGGAGTGCCGCCACTCGGGGCACGATGTCGGGGTGGACAACAAAAACAGAGTCCTCGCCACACCGAAGAGCGCCTGTCATGCGGTGTGCGCGTCTTCCTTTTCCTCCTGGACATCCTTCCGGTATAACCTCTTGACGGCGGCAAGGAAGCCCACGTGCCAGATTGGTATGCCTCATTGCGGGAGAGATCGTGCAATCGTGGTTTCTTCGTCAGCGGCCTCAGTGCGTGGGATACCGCAGTCTGATGGGAAAAATATAAATTCCACAGAGCGACCTCGCTTTATCAAGGAAAGTAGCATAATCCAAATCTCTTCAGTAATGCGGCTTCGCATGGCCATTGGAGCAACTCGGAGTGCCTCAATTGCCGACAGGGAGTCCGTCGCCACCAGGATTCGTGTGGGCGATTGGAATGTTTCCAAACGAGGAGGTATGAGATGTCTAATGCCATTTCCAACGGCAGGGCACTCTGCTCCATATGAGCATGCGAGCCTGCCAGCTGCTGCACGATGGACCTCCACAGGGAGATCATTTCTCTTTGTGGTGTCGTATAATAGTGCGGCGGACCCAGATGCGAGTTCAGCGAGGGATGAAGAAACGTCCGCCCATAATTCAAAATCGTAATCTCCTAGAGAGGAGTAAAGAGAATCAAAAGCCGTGCGCTTGACATCGTCAGAGGCGTCTTTTGCTAAAAGTGGCTGATAAAATCTCACTTCGTTGCAGCTCACGGTGTCACAGGGAATAATTCTACGTTGGGTAAGAGAAGGAGCACGAAGGTGGTTGCGGGGTATCCCAGTAATTACACAGACGGATTGTAATCCATTAATAACGGCATCTCTCGGAAGCGGAATTGATGTCGCCGCTGTCCCATGCATGGATGGCGGCATAGGTTCAGAGTAGATAAGGGAACGCAAATCCTCGTAATCATGGAGGCGTATATAGCGTTCGTATTGTGTGAGTGCAAGAAGCCAGAGTATCTTTTGGAGCGGGAGAAGATTGACTTCCAAGTAGACAGATGTATCTTCCGTTGATGCTCTAAGGCCAAGGGATGTTTTACAGCTGTCGCGGCACAGTACTTACATATTATGGAGGTAGGTGGGGACAAGGCATGGGACAATTGCCTCGCCACAATACAGTGACACACCATGGACGTATTCAATCGAAAAGGATCGCATGGTGTGATGGGACGCACCAGCTTGTGCGACCAGCCGCAGCTGATAGCAGCGTGGCATGGTCTGCTTTGCAGCGGTGGAAGCGTGCGTGCCAAAATTAGGAAGTCGATCAATCGTGCTGCCCAGTAAGCGCGCTGGGCGCGACTGAATACGTAGGTTCCCATTGACAAAATGGAGATCGATCATTTCCTCGTCAAACCGTGTGTGTAAAAAGATGTAGAATAGAGCAGCTTCACTCTTATCGACGTTGATTTTTAGTTTGTGCTCGGCAGCCCATGTCAATATAAGGGGCAGAGCGGTCGCATTGCCGCAGCACATGCATGGATGTCCGCACCTGAGGCAACAAGTGTGAGGTCGTCAGATCACATGAGTGCGGCGGCAGAATAGATGTTGTCCATGCGGTGCAGCAGATCATCCACATGGTGGAGGAAGAGTTGGGGTCCCGGGACGCCGCCTTGCGGTACTCCAGCTGGGGTGAGATGTTTCCGGGAGTGCTGTTCGCGAGTGCATACCCCAATATAGCGGCCCCGCAGGTAGTTGTGCAGCCAGCGTTTGGTTAGAAGACCAAGGCGTGGAAGCCCGTCAAGCATGCCGAGTGATTTCCCATGGTCAACAGTGTCGAACGCAGTCGAAAAATCAATCAAGACTACGAGCGAGCGATGGCGACGAGGGTGTCGTGCGGGGGCGCCGCCTCCAGGGCGCGCATACTCCACAATGCTGAACTCATTCAATCCATGAGTAATTCTATCGATGACAGGTGTCACCACGTCCGATGTAGAACGCGAAGGTGTAAACCCGAATTGACGTGGGTGGTGTGGCAATAACGCTGACAGACGGCGATGAGTCATTCTTTCGGTCAACTTGAGTAAAACAGAGAGTAGCGTGATGGGTCTGTAACTCTCTGGGCGGCATAGATCCTTCCCAGGTTTGGAAATGCGAATATTTACCTCGATCTTCAAGGAGCCAGGCAGGCTGCCATTTGCGAAGAAGTTGTGGATCATCGTTCTGAGAGTGCCGCGCGCAACAGACCGGAGATGGTAAAGGAATTCATTCAACATGCTTTTGGGGCCAGGGGCTGAGCCGAGCGAAGAGTCGCAGATGGCCACGCCAAGTTCATACGGCGTGAAAGGTCAATCCATTTCCCAGCCACCAGGAACCAAAGAAGTGCGGCGTGCAGCAGCAGCAGTATAAGGTAATGTGGCACGTGAAACTCGTACAAAATGACGGACGAGCGGGTATCCCTGCAGCCAAGGCAGGGCGCAAACGCAGCCAAGATAATTTCGGAGCACAACCGATTCCAGAGGATGAGGGTTCGGCGCCGCCATGCCGCGAAGATATCGCCAGCTTGGGATGGATGGGGCTCCAAAGCTTTTCCACACGAGCTTCCAGAAGCATAGTGAAGCCACGGCGTAAGGCTTGATTTTGTTCCTCCTTTTTTCAAGTAAATTTGGCTCGAAGTAGGCTGTCTCCTGGTGAGGCGATGTGTGTGCTTTGTGTGCTGCTTCTGCGGCGGAATCGGCTTGTTTCATTTCGTCTGTCCAGATTGTTTTGGGGTTTCCACGGCTGCCGCGCGGGATATGGCGCTCAGCTGCTCGCACGATACCTCCGCGAATATCCAACCATGTGGACGCGGTGGCAGGGAGTGTTTCACACAACGAGGTTAAAGCAGGCCAATCCGCTTTGCGCAGGGCGAATACGGCTTTCTTCCGTCGAGGCGGCGTGTTGGCTAGTCGCGGAATGCCATCGTCCATCCCTACCGAGTAAGATATCAAGCGGTGGTCCGAATCGATGTAGGGAATGAATTTCCAGTGGGTGACACGTAGAGCACAATAAGCAGTCACGTCAGGGGACAAGACATTACGATGTGTGATCCGTTTTGCCTGCGCCGGGTCATTTGCCAGTCCAAAATTGAAATCAATTAAAACAGCGGCAAAGTTTTCTCCTCCGGTCGTTGGTGGTGTTTACGACTGTCCCGAAGCTCATGGTGTGAATTCAACTCACCTGCAATAATCGTTGCGGGTCTGAGCGACGAATGATACTAATAAATGAAGAGTTTTGAACAGTTGCTGTGGGGAGGGTTGTAGAGATTCGCCACGCAAATGCCGGAACAGCGCTGTGGAAATGCACGGACAGCAGTGGTCTCCAGGAGGTCTGTGCCGGGGAGCGACAGGCGCTCGCACGGTAGACAGTGGCGCACCAAGAAGGCAACGCCACCACTGCGCCCAGTGCAGGCCTGAAGAAATTCATTGCAACCAGAAACTTTTGTCGCTACGTTGCTACGGTCATTTATTTCCTGGAAAAAAAAAAGATGTCAGTTTGATGCCGCTCCAACCGCGCAGCAAATGCAATCTTTTTTACGGACGAGAGGCCTGCAATGTTACGCTGCCAAATAGTGATGTAGCCATCCTCCTCGGTACCAGAGTTCTTGTGGAATTCACCGCAACGGGTGATATCAATGGAGTGACCGCAGCGAAACGGTCGTGCAGTTTTGTCCGACAGCCTGCAGGCAGACCGCTTCAACTCCCGCACCGGGCATGGCGTGGAACCTCCTCGAGGGGTGGAGTCGTCTTGGTCTCCGTCGTGCTCGCAGCAACGCCCTGCTGCGGAGTTCCTACATGCAACCAGAGCCTCAGCACCGCGACAAGGTGCGGACCCCATCGCTGGGGCCAGGAAAAACCGCAGTGCCTCCTGCTCTCAT